CTCGGGATAGAGTCTCATTCTCCAGCGGAGTCGTCTTTCCTTACTCCTCCTTATTTGTAGTTGTGCTCATCCGCATGATGTGTAGTTGACGTGGCTAGAAGGATAAGACGGGGGGCCATAGTAATAGTACAGGTCGGCCGATCTAAGCCGATGTGGCCAAGCTTAGGTGACATGGCAAGGCGATAGCTAGGCGGGCACGTGTCTCGCAGGACCAGCTCAGCCATGAACCGAACACAAACCTTTCGTTCTGCTATCCTCTCCAACCGGCTAAGTCAAGCTTCTTCCGACGACCGGCGGTAGAGGTTTAGTGTTTCTCTCCTTGTAGTGGTTCGTCTGCAACTAAACCCCAAAAGGCAAAGGCATCACCGGCAAAGACAAGCTTCTTCCAACAATCTGCGACAGAGGTTTAGTGCTTTTCTCCCTACAGCGGTTCATCTGCAACTGAAACCCCAAAACGCAAAAAGCATCAACAACTTAATCTGCAACTTTGTGCTTTTTCGGCTTCATCTACAACGGCTTTCATCTGCGGTGGTTTTAAGGCATCAACGGCTAGTGAAATACATAGACTCCAAAAACTACCAAGTTCCACAAGGCAAAGCTGCAGTTGAGATTGTTTCGAGAGCTTCAGCTGGGATACAAACAGCAACAGAGCTCAATAAGGGTACGGCCTATAACTTGGAATTTGTACTTGGAGATGCAAACGACTCTTATGTGGGAGATTTCATTGTGAAGGCGCAAGCAGGATCTACGTCAATGAACATCACGATGCAGACCAACGGAACCGGCTTGGCCCAAAGCTTCCTCATGACTTTCAAGGCAGATTCAACTCTAACAAACATCAGCTTCGTTAGCATAACCACGAGTCAGACAAGAGATTTTGTGTTTTGTGGTCCTGTGATCGACAACGTGGTACTTCGTGCTTCATTTGGGCTCAAACCACAAATGCAGAATTGGATGTTGTTTTTATGCTTGGTTTTCCTCGTAGATGTTGTATAGATTATTGAGAAGTAGAGCCAAATCTGAATCTGTTTTACCACTTATTATTATATATATTACTGTTATTTTTTTTTACAAGTTCCTTGTAAGTTGTAACTGAATAATTTGATTTTGAGAACTTGGGTAAAGCATAGCTGGCCTGATTCCTTCGCCTGTAGAGATTGATTGGATCTCATAGGTCCAAAAACTTTTTATAAATTGCACTCCTTCGAAGGTTCTAATGGATTGATTGAAAGAGAATGATTGGTTTAGCAGTTGGCTGATGGACATTATTCAATAGTTCTGGGTTTTGGACAAAACAAGTGTCTGGATAATGCGTTAATGTGGACCAACGAGATCCCCACTAAAGGGGTGGAATCGCAGGGTATTAGATATAAATGAGTAGTTCTATACATTGAGACCCTGTTTGGGTACCAGTAAGGAAAATTGTAATGTTCTTCAGTTTCAAACAAATCTAAAATCTGAACTAATTTCATCGCACGGTTCTGTTACCAATCATCAGAGGATCCGTCTTCGATAGTGAATCTATGGTATAGGAATAAGAATCATTTCGTTTCATGTAGCGCCTTAACTCTAAACAACGTTTGCTTTGAATTACTGAAAATATGGAGACACTCTAAACAACGTGTGCTGAAAGCCTGAAATAGGGTGATTATCTTCCGTTTCMGAATTTTAGGGACCATGAATATTAGAGAAAAAATAAGGGGAGACCTGAATCCCCGAAACTAAGAGGGAGAGAGAGGACCGTTGGGACTTTGGAGAGTTTATGACGATGATGATTGATGAGAGAGAATCCGAAGGGTGACAGCGATAGCGACGATGACAGCAACGACGGTCGATGGTCTGCGAAACAACAACAAAGACGAAGTCTCTTCCTCAGTTCCCTGGCCTCTCCTCTATTCAATGTCCGACGGGTGAGTGGGCAGTGGCAACAGTCAGCAACGGCAGTTAGTGGTCGGCGGTTGGCGAATCAGCAACGAAGACGAAGCTAGGGTTTACTAGTTTTGTGGTTCAGTCGCCTCTCTTGAGTCTTCTTTGTCGAACACAAAAGAATGAAGACCGGTAACTGGTTTAGTCGAGGGTTAAGGGTTTTCCAACTTTTTAAGTTTTCTTGATTTCTTCGAATTATGTTTTATACTTTTAGTTTTTACTGTTTTATAAATAAATTAATAATTATTATACTTATATAGTATATAATATTATATTATATATATAATATTATATTATATATATATATATATAATATTAATCGGGGATGGGTCGGGGCGGGGATTGCATTCCCTGTTCCCGTCCTCGTCCCCATCCCCGATTAGGGATTCATGGGTAGCCCCATCCTCGACCCCGACCCTGCCAAGGTACCTCCATCTTCGACCCGATGGGGTTGGGGAGCCTGGGTACCCGTCGGGGATGGGGAAAATTGTCACCCCTATAAATAAGAGGTAACTACCCCTTAAAAGGGGTTGGAACAGAGTAACTCCAACATTACTCACTCATTTAGTTCTTGCACCTACATTATCTACCTAACATTAATTCAGGGAGATCTGGTGCAACCGAGGACTCTCTCCAGGAGCACTTTTGCACTCTCCCCTACTTCACACCTCTTACTAACTTGAGCATTGGTGCCTCCGCCTTGGGTATCCACCCCGTGGTCTCTGACACTTCCTGTATTGCAGCATCTCAGATCATTGGGGACCCTGCCTCAACTAGCAGTCCTCGGCTACCATAGTCCTCGGAAGGAGTACTTCGCTTCGACTTGCTGCCCTCGATTTCAGTCAACCTCTTCCGAGGCCTCGAGGTCCTCGGCTAATGCTCAGAGCTTGAAGGGTGAATTTACCTTGTTGCCCTCGGCCAACCCGCGCAACAACACTTGGCATATGGCTGTCAACCAGAGCCAAAGTTACTATTTGGCACATCGTAACACATTGGTTGATAAATGGCAAATTAAGCAGTAAGCAATATGCGAATTAAGCAATAAGCAATAAGCATTAAGCACTAATAAAACCACAAACAAATTAAGTAATTCAACAAACCCAAATGATTTTACATAAGAGCAAAAAATAATAATTAACCTAGAAATGATTTTACATGAGAGAAAAAAAATAACCCAAAAACAAATTAACACAGAAATGATTTTATAAGAGAAAAAAAAACCCAGAAAAGATTTTAAATAAGAGAAGAAAAAAAACCAAGAAATGGTTTTACATATGAGAAAAAAATAACCCAGAAATGATTTTATTATTGTTCTGTTCTAAAATATACCAAAGTAGAATGTAGTCGTTGTAGATGAAGCCATTGATGCCTTTAAACCATCACAGATGAAAGCCGTTGYAGATGAAGCCATTGATGCCTTTTGCCTTTTGGGGTTTCAGTTGTAGATGAACCACCGCAGGGAGAAAAGCACTAAACCTCTGTTGTCGGTCGCCGGAAGAAGTTTGCCTTCGCTGGTGATGCCTTTGCCTTTTGAGGTTTCAGTTGCAAACGAATCACTGTAGGGAGAGAAACACCAAACCTCTGTCGCCAGTCGCTGGAAGAAGCTTGCCTTCGCCGATGATGCCTTTTGCCTTCACCGGTTGGAGAGGATAGTAGAACGAAAGGTTTGGATGGATAATGGAGAGACACGGGAAAGAAGAGAATGAAAGGTTTTCACAAAAATACTTTAAATGAGAGATGGCTAATGGCATTCATGTTAAACGCCCGTTTACCATCCCCGCATGAATGAGGAATGTACACAAACTTATAGACGCGTGTCATCCTCTCATAATGTTCGAATGGTTTCACGTAGACCTGTTCATGGGCCGGGTGGCCTGACGGGCCGGCCCGGTCCCCGGATGGGCTTGAACAGGTATATAGGTCCGAGGGCTTAACCTCGGGCCAAAAAGCCCGGCCCGCAATAAATTCGAGCCGAGCTCGGGATTTTCCAAAATAGCCCGGCCCGAGCCCGGCCCGAGCCCGGCCCGACCCGACCTATAAATAAACCTAGAAAAACTAGTTGAATACCCCTCTTTTTTCACCTCTTTCCCTTCTTTTTCCAACCAAATTCTTCTTCTCCACATCCTCTTTCCCTTCTTTATATATATTTTTTAATATAAATAAATTTTGAATTTATATATATTTTTAATGTAAATAAATTCTGATTTATATTGATTATTGAATAGGGAAAATTTCTAATTTTTTTATTAGGTCAAGCTTCGGGCTCAGGCTCGGGCTTCGGGCTTTTTATTAGGGCCGGGCTCGGGCCCAAGTTGTAGGCCTGTTGGTCGGGCCGAGCTCGGGCTCGGGCCTAACATATTTCTGTTAATGAATAGTAAAAGCCCAGCCCGGCCCGAGCCCATGAACATGTCTAGTTTCACGCTATGACTGAAGCCGAACCGGACTGTTCCACCAACAGCCAAAGTAATTCCCGTCCGGTGGGAGAATTTATTAGACAGACTAGAGATCAGTGAACAGCGAGGATTGCGGATGTGAAGTTAAAAGTGATAATTGATAAAAAAGAATAAACAAAAAAAAGCAAAGGATACCAATCCAACGAAAATCCGAGTACGGGCTGAGCGTACTCCCCATCAAGATTCGAACACGCTGCCCATCTCAATACCATAAAAAAATGTACGTACACGTACAGCTAAGTAGAACCAGATTGACAGCTGGGCACCACCCACCAACTTGTGTCCCACTGTAAATAATACAAAACCAGGTACCCAACGACTCAATCCCCAGACAATTATACCTCAAGAATCAAGAATCTCAAGACTGATAACTGATCCCAAACATCCCATGAGTGTTGAGTCCTGATCACCATTGCCATCTGGCAAAAACTACACCTATGCATGAAACGGGATCTGCTCCTCACAGAAGGGCGCTTTACACGCACATTCACCGTATATTGAGAATATCTCTCGTAAATAAAAATTTATAAGTAGAAAATGTTTTGTCAATGCATGGTAGAATGTGCGTGTAAAATCAGTGTGAAGCGCCCTGTGTGAAGCAGATCCGGTCTCCCTATGCACATATTTCACATTTGTTGGGATGCGAACTGCAATTTGATGAGGGAAAACTCACATGAGGATGAGTTTTTTCAAAAAATTGTCAATCCCCATGAGTCAATGAAGTTCCCTCAAATTTGCCAAAATAATGCTTGAATTTTAACTTATTAATTGTGTTAAGCCCCGAGGTCATAAAAAAAAAAAGCCAATAGCAGATAGCTGTGAAGTGGTATATAATATTGATATAGACAAACTCACCATTAAAAAAAGCGTAATTAAAACTGGATTTCGCGTCCGAATTCCGAAAGGGAATTATTTTATTTTAACAAACCATCACAAAAATTTAGTGCTTTGCAGCACCGGAAAATTGTAAAAACCCATAGATGGTCGGTCCGTCGGTCGGGCTTGGTCAGAGTTCCAATGGACTCTTTTGTAGTGGTTCTCTCTCCAGGTCAGTCCCCGCTCTCTCTCTCTCTCTCTCACTGGGCATTTCTAAATGTGGGTTTTTTAATTAATAGTCGTTGATATGTTTCATGGTTTTATATAGTTTACAGAAGCATTGGATCTGCTGTGTTTACTGGCAAGGTTTGTTTGAATTTGTATTTGATAATTTTTTGTTTCTCTTTATGAAGTGTCAGATGTTAAGTGTTTTCTAGTTATGTATAGCTGATCTAGGGTTTATTGTTGCTTTTATTTTTGGTGGTGTTTTCACGCGGTTTTCGAATAATAAGGTTTCTCAATTTGAGTCTCAAGTGGGATTTAGCTAAAATGGTTGAGCTATTTTGGGCTATTTGGAGATATATTTGTTGGGCTTGAATTCTATTGTGGGATTGAAGTGAGTCTAGCTCAGGAAGTTTAAATAATGTTGTACATTTTTTAGAAGGAAGAACGAGGAAAATCCATTATTATGAGGAAAGCTTCTGAAACGATCTCCTGTTTTCTTTCTTTTTCTTCCTTTAATTTTTCCATAATTTGGTCAGTGAAAAAAGAACAAGGAAACTGAAATTGGATTTTTTTTTGGAATTCCAAAAACAGGTGACTTAGCAACGATTGAAGAAAACTTCTGCTGTGTTAGAGTTTTGAGCTTTGACCATTCAAGAGCTGTATCTTCTAGAATCCTCCTGTCACCATAAGAATCGTTTTCAAACTTCAACTACTACATGGGGAACTTCTTTCATTTTTTCTTGACCCTGTTTATACGTTTTGAAAATTGGAAAAATTGATACATAGATTTGACAATATGGTTTCCCCATTTCTGAGGAACGGGGAAGAGGAGGAACACTAGAACACAGTTTGGTATTTTGGATACAAAGAGGATTTTGAGAGTTTGGTATGGCTGTTGCCAAGAGCAACAGCAGCAACTCWTCATCGACACAACCGTGCAACTGCTACAAAGTTGCAAGCCTGACTGAAACAATCTTGGACACAAACAAGACCTCAAAGTTGGAAGATAGATATGTTTTGGGAGAGCAATTGGGTTGGGGACAGTTTGGAGTCATCAGGGCATGTTCAGATAAGTCAACCGGAGAGGTGTTGGCATGCAAGTCCATCGCTAAGGAGAGATTAGTCACACTGGATGATGTCCGCAGTATCAAGCTTGAGATTGAAATAATGAGTCGGTTATCTGGGCATCCAAATGTTGTGTATCTCAAGGCGGTTTATGAGGAGGAGGATTATGTGCATTTGGTGATGGAGCTTTGTGCTGGTGGAGAGCTTTTCCACCGGTTAGAGAAACATGGGAGGTTCTCCGAGTCTGAGGCCCGGGTGCTTTTCAGTCATCTGATGCAAGTTGTGATGTATTGTCATGACAACGGCATTGTTCATAGAGATTTAAAGCCAGAGAACATTCTCTTGGCTACAAGGTCATCTTCCTCTCCAATTAAATTGGCAGATTTTGGTCTTGCAACCTACATCAAACCAGGTAAGCTTTTGGTCTTCGCTTATTTGTTAGATTATCGAGCTTCTATTATTTTAATAGAAGTTATGTTCTTTGTTATAAGCATTTAGATATTTGTTGCAACAGGGCAGAGTCTGTTTGGTACAGTAGGAAGCCCATTTTATATAGCACCTGAGGTACTGGCAGGGGGCTACAACCAGGCTGCTGATGTGTGGAGTGCAGGGGTTATCCTTTATATTCTCCTTAGTGGCATGCCACCATTTTGGGGGAAAACTAAGTCAAGGATCTTTGATGCTGTTAGGGCAGCTGATCTTCGGTTCCCATCTGAACCTTGGGATAGAATATCTACTTCTGCCAAGGACTTGGTCCATGGGATGCTTTGTACGGATCCTGCAAAAAGGCTCACTGCTGCTCAGGTTCTAGGTATGTTGATTACGTTGTAGTTTATTGAATTGCAAAGTAAATAATTGATATTGCAACAATGTGGTTCTGATACCTACTTTGGACTTAGAAGTGTGAATTGTTGTTAAAGTGAGGGTAATGGTTCTGTTTCCTACTTTGGGCTTTAAATGGGGAACTGTATTATAGGGGTTCTCTTTTTAAACTGGAGAATTGGGTGCAACTTTCCTGCATTTGCAATAATTATTAAACTAAAATTCTAGCCAAGAGATTTAGGAATCATAATGACATGTTAGTGGCATTATGTTGCAGCCTATGGCTCTTTTGTTGCTGTAAATGATTGCGATCATGTAGGCTATGAAGTTTAGGCACATCTCCAAAAGTGATGTAGCTGTTGTGATGCTTATTAAATACCAGACCACAAATTGATTTTGTTTTTGCTGCTATTCGTGCTCTGGTTATTCTCATATATCTTTAACGCATTATTGACTTAATTTTTATTTGTTACTGTATCTTTTGATGCTCTGTCTTTTAGAACTAAATTACTAAATAATTATAGGTCTCCTTTTCCTACTGGGTTAATATGAGATGGAATAATCACCCCTCTTTTTAGGAGTTTGAATGGTATTGGAGCAAGGAGTGAAGAATTGGTTTCATTGAATGACTGAGCTACCAGAAAACTGATGCCTTCTTGGTACTGATTAGGTCAGTTGTTTGTGATACATTGAAGCTAATATGACTAAGTTTCCAATATTGGTATCCCAAAATCCATGTCGAGTGATTTATTTATAATTTAATCAAACTTCAGTTTGTGTGAAATCAAAAGATCTATTCTAGGAAGCTCCTTAATGCATTCACCATTTTAAGCTTTATTTCCAATGTTGGTTGCTCATGTTTTGCAGATCACTCTTGGATAAAAGATTGTGGACAAACAGAAGAAGAACAAAATGAATGTGACGGCCTAAGTTGTCTGCAATTGGACTTGGGTAGTGGATCTTTCTCTACCACACTAATTGCCAGGAATCAGGACTTCAGCTTTAGTTCCCCTATTTCTGGTGATTCTGAAGTGGGTTGTTCTCCTGCATTTACATGTAGATCATCATTTTCTTCTTTCTTGATTGATCCCGCCACACCTCTCTTGGTTTCTGGTGGATTTTCTTTTCACGGTCGTTGTGAATCAAATAGCCCAGTGTTCTCTTCTCCAATTTCCTCAATGCCAAGCTTTGCATTCTTTAGCCCCAGCCCTGCAGTTGAGCAAAGGAATAACAACTCACTGGGTTTCGTGGCCAATATATCAGGAGTTAATGCAGTCCAGAGAGGTATTTGATGATCTTAACTTGTTCTTTAGTAGGTTTGGCACACGTGTATAGCAGTGGTAATGAAGTAATATGTTTTCTATAAAATGGCAAAAGAAGAAAGAGATTGAAATTTGAAAAAAAGACAAGTTAAAAAGAATGTATAAGAAAATTTTATTGTTTCATTTCATTGGTTAGGATGTTAGAGCTTAGAAGTGGAATTTTATTGTTCCATCAGTTGGACTGTTGGACGGATATAAATGAAATTTTGTTTAATTGCAACAAAGGGTAATTGGAGGAAGAAGTTCGAGGAAGGGTGGACTGTTCTTTTTTTTTGTTCATTTATTTATTTAGGCTATAGTAATAGAAACACTGATCTAACCAGATATCTTGGTGGTTTTACAGAAACAAGCACTGGGGAACTCTTTTTATTGCCGGATTCTACGACTTGCTTTGGGCGAGAAGCAGGAGAAACGGCAAACAAGGCAGTAGATGCACGAAGAGGGGGAGTAACACCTGCATCTAGGGTATTTGGCATCCACAGCAAGAGAAACCGTACAATTGGGCTTGGGGAACTTGAACAGCTTGATCTCATGGAGACTGAGTCGGTTATCCGTTGGGCATCATGCACACACCTCCCGAGTGCTGCTTCTCTTCGGTCCTCCCTTGTTTGTTGATGAATAGAGCAATGTTTGGCAGAGGATGACCAGCGAACTGAACTTGGGGCGGGACTTGGATGCAGGAGTTGGTCTAGGCTTTGAAAAATTTGGTGGTGTTTCTTGGTAATTGAGTCTGAAGTGGCTGAGAAAGCTTGTGTTGGTGCCAGTTGTAGTTATAGGCTTGACGGGCAGGGGTCGTGTAATGAATGAGTGCTGGTGCTTTTGTAACTTGAGTAAACTGTTAGTTTGTTTATATTAGCATAGCTAAGTAATAATAGGTCACGGCTTAATATGTCGGAGCTTCAGACGTCCAACTTCCAAATTCAAATATCCATGTGTTATACAGAGAAATTTTCTTCCCCCTCTCTCACCACTTCACCAGTCAGCAGTTACCACCCCGCCGTCGCCCTGCCTCTCTCTCTTTCTGCTTTGAAGCTTCGAACAATTATGAGTCTACCCTTTCTGGGAGAATGAATTAGTTAGATTAGACAACTTATGACTCTAGCCTTTCTACCAATCGGCCGCATTCTTCTATTGGCGGAAGAAAGAGTGCGTCGAACAGTGTTTGAATTGACCCGAAATTGGTTGGCGATTTGCTTTGCCGAGAAAAATCTAGAACTGCAGTGTACTTCTCTGAATGTTGGGAGAATGAATGTTCAGCTCAGCGTAAGAAGTTTTAACCCTACGGTACAGGTGGGGTGGGTTGGTGTCAGTTTAGAATTGGTGTTAATACATGGGTGGGTATTGCCTTATTGGTATTTAGGATGAGGGTGTTTGATATTTTGAATTATTATCAATTTGCAGTGGTGTATTTTTTCAAATGTTTTTTAATTTTTTTGAAAGATAAAATATAAAACTATTATATTAAATAACATGTATATGCTTATATAGTCCTGAACCACCGGTCCACTGGTATTTTAGTGGAATAAGTATCAAAAGAAAGATTTTGCATCCTATGAACCCCCGTGGGTTACCTGCCAATACGTGTTGAACACATCACCACTAATGGCTTAGCAGGCAAGGTAATGGAAACTAACATTCTGTTGATGGCCGTTTCATTGGTTAGACCAGGCAGTAAAAGACCAAAAATAAGAAAGTCATATTCAAATAAATGAAAATCCCCTTCCTCTCTCTCATCTAAACCCTAGCTAGATCGGATCATTGGCGATGTGTAGGGCAATCAACATTTGACAATGTTATTCCAGCGAAAAATGAACTCCCCTTCTTCTTAGCAACGACACTAAAGAGAGGTGGATTTCCCTCCCCTCTCTCTCTCTTGTTATTTTTCCCTCTCTTTTTTTTCTCTTCCTGCCATCCCTTGTTTCCTCGAACGACATTACCAGTGCTGCAACTCCAACGATGGATCCCCTTGTCCATAGTCATGCCCTCCACTGTTGAACACTGGATTAGATCGGCCCCAGTTCTTTCTATTGCTTTTTCTTTCCCTATAAACTGAGCTATTATTATTATTATTATTATTATTATTATTATTATTATTATTGTTAATATTATCTTTTTCTTTTAACGATTTCAAAACTGGAGGTACCCTACCCCCTTCCTCTCTGAAACAATCGAAGCTTCAAATTGGAAGGAACCACTACTTTGAAATGACTAAAGCTTCAACTCAGCACCATTAGTCTCTTAATCAAGTTGAGAAAAGCAGATACCGAATGAAACCAGTTCTCATATAGACTGTCTGATTTTATATTTCCGGTGGCCATTGGACACGAAAGTTTACCAAATGAATGTTACTGCCGCTGGCCGCCTGTTCGTTTTTTGCGCGGACGTTGGTGATCCGGTTTTGTTAGATGATTTTCGTGGACTTCTTTTTTTGTCTTTTAGTGCCTACTGCCTAGTCCAACCAATGAAACGACCGTTGATAAGATAACTCGGTTAGTTCCCGTTAGCTTGCTTGTTAAGCATTACTATAACGTCTTCAACAAACGTATTGGTCGGTTCACAGGATGCGAACTCCAAAAGGAAGAAAGGGAGTTATGTGGGTGGCCCTTGGCCAAAGCCACTGCATGAGGAGCCCTAGTCATCATCAAAAGCCAATGGCAAGACCAAGGCAACACAAACTTCTCTTGTAATCATGGTTTTTAAAAACAAACCGGTGACCGAACTGGTCAGGGTTCGGTTATTGATTTGAATGGTCGAATTACATAACAATAAAACATTTTCAAGTTTAACAGAAAGAGCCCTAGTCTTCATCAAAAGCCAATGGCAAGACCAAGGCAACACAAACTTCTCTTGTAACCATGGTTTTTAAAAATGCGCCGGTGACCGAATTGGTCAGGGGTCCAGTTATCGGTTCGAATGGTCTGACCGTTTGACCCAAATGGCCGGTCCGTTCTGACAAAAAAAATTAAAAATTTGAAAAACGGTCAAAACAGTTCGAACGGTTAACCAGCCCGTTCAGCAGTTTGCTGACCAAAATCAATGATTTCGGGAGAAAAAACGGTTTTGGAGGAAAACGGAACCGATCAAATGACTGGTTCCCGGTTTTTCCGGTCCGACCACCCGGTCCAATCCGATTTTAAAAACAGTTCTTGTAACGCTCGCACCACCCTTTGCGAATTAGAACATGAAACCACACTCCCAGGATTCCATTGCTGTAGAAATTCAAAAGCCTACAGATAGCAAAGAGCTCAACTTGATCAATAGAATCTAAATTATCAGTCCTGCCACCATATATTCTCAAACACGATAGGTTCCTTGATAATAAGATGATCCCAAAAGAGAATAAGGTATAAGTAATCGACCCGACATCAGTGAATATGATAATATCTGTCGAGTGTTTAACTTGAAGCAAAAATTTTGGCAGAAAATATTGTCTACGACTTAGATCAGATTGTAACAATCTACAATTGAAATGCCTAGTTAATAATAATTATAAGATTCTGTGGCATAAATTGGTGGTTTCTAAAGCATTTCTCATTCCTACCAAATCAAATATAACAAATGGCAATTGCAATCCATCCTAAAACAACTGCTTATCTGACAGATAAATGAACAAAGCATTAATGTAGAGCACCCATGAACCTTGAAATAAACTGTTAAAATTAATATTCCATGGGGCCGCAAAGAAGATAGCTTGTGCAAAACTGTATTCTATAAACAACTGATTTAAAGATTCCACAAACCCATGGCATAACACACAATGTTTCTCTTGTTGATCCATACTGGAGCAAAATTACTAATTACCCTCCAAAAAAACAGCTGATAATGAGGGGAATAGGTAGTTTTCAAATCCATTTAAGACAAAATTGGAAATCAGGAGAAACAAAAGCCAGGAACTGCAGTTGAGGTTTTTTATAAACTTCTTCAGTGGTGAATTTGCCTGATTTACGAGGAATCAAGACCCAATGAATACAATTTCTAAGATTTGAAGGCACTTACTGCGACCCCATTGTAAAAACATTACCAGGTATCCACATTCTGAGGCCAACTCCCGAATTCTCGGAGCTACTGATTTCCAATAAAAAGATACTGACTTCTGAATGGTATGAGAAAAGAGACTGTTATTTTTTAAAGACTTTGACTTGCACAGTTGATCCCATAGCTTATGTTGTTCATTAATATACCTCTAACCCAATTTCTTTAAAAGAGCCAAATTTACCATTTTCAAAATTTTCAGTCCCAAGCCACCAAAAACTTTTGGTAAGATAATCTTCTGCCACGAACAGTTTGAAAGCAGTACAAATGCAAATATGTTCAACGTAAATATATACAAAATATAAGGTTTTGCACACTACATATTTGCATTTGTACTCCTTCCAACCTCAGTCTTAATTACTTTTTCCACACTATGTATAGTCTTTTGAGGGTAATGAATTGTACTCATTAAATATAGGGGAATGGATTGAAGAAAAGCTTGAATCAAAACTTTCTTACCTGCCTAACTAAGAGTTGATGTTTTCCACCTATTTAGTTTCAAGTTAAGATTGTCCAATACATAGTTCAAATTAGCATGCTTATTTTTGGACCAACAGAGGAAAAGCCCTAATATCTAGAGTTTGGATTAAAGGGGACTGATATGAAATTTCCTTTTAATCATCTTTTGATGACGTAGATTGAAGGGATGAGAGATCCATCCCATGGACGCCCAAAGATTGCAAATTAAGGGGCGAATTTCAAAAATTTTTCTCTCCCTTCAACTGGGAATCACATTCCCTATTTAGAAAATCATATTTTCAAGGATCATCCTTGAACCTTAAACTGAATCAGATCTGAACTAAAAGGAGCAGGAGAGAATTATACTTGATACGGAGAAGTAGTATCTCCCAACGAAGGTGTTCACGCCCAAGGAAGGAWCCAAAGACTGCTCCCACTGAAGATGGCGTAGTGCAGGTGGAGCAAAATCAGCAGTGTTCTTCTCCAAGAACTCTATCCTTCGCAAGGATCAACAAGGTGGTACGTGAGCACAGCTTCCTGTCAATCATTTCTCAAAGAACCGATGTCAAGATCCAATCTTGACTTCTCCCACAACTGGAGATCGAACTGGCAAACAGGGCAGCAAGAACAGGGAGGCGGCAAGAGAGTATTCGCAGGGAACAAAATTCTCTCTTCTTGATTTTTGCACTAGAGGAAATCTGTTGTCTGTGTATCTCTAAAAGCTGCCGCCCCCTTCTTCTTTTGTAATGTTAAAGGGATAAGCTCCTAATCAGATTAGGAGTTGCTAATCCAAATCATATTTGGGTTAGAAGTCCCTTTAAGTGATAAGGGATAA